CATTTAATTCATGCTGAAGCAGAAGTGAAAGAATGGATCTCATTACTCTGCATCTGTACTAGCCGAGCTCTTATTGTGCACGGCTGAAAAGTTACACGCTGGCTGAATTAGCCATTCCCCTTTCATCCTTTTTAAGACTCAAAGGAGCTTTGAAGCCGATAAGAATAGAGTGTTGTGATAGTATCTCAGCATCCGAGAAGAAACACGCACACACATACACACACACTTCTGCCTTCTCCTCGATAACAACGGTCCTTCTGTCAAGAGCTAGCCGTGGCAGTTTGCCTCGGTTGATGGTCAGGGACTGACACTGAAAGCTTGGCGAGTGTTTCTCCCATGATGCCGTTTGCCAGTATGTGGCGAAGGCCTGTTTCCAATATGGCGAGCGTGTGCGGGCAGGCGGTGGGGTTGGAGAGCTCCGGCGGGTCCACTCGTGACTCTTTGTAAACACACTTGTGCGGGTGCATTGAGTGATTGCTTATGTAAGACACGAGCAGACTTCAGTGAGTCTGTACGGACATGCTGTTCATTCTGTGTTGATCCTTCAGGACGTGGCAGAGAGATTGCAGAGATGTGACACCGCCTGCCCGCACACCCAAAGCATATATTGTCTAGTGTACTCTATATAGGTGAGTGGGCTTGACAAACCACCTATAGGATAATAAAAATAATTATAATAATTAATAACATTTATGTAGCCCTTTTTTTGAAAGGTAAAAGCACTTTACACATTGGGGAGAATCTCCTCACCCACCCCCACCAGTGTGCCGCATCCGCATAAGTTATTATGTTAGTTAGTTAGTTAGTTAGTTAGTTAGTTAGTTAGTTAGTTAGTTAGTTAGTTAGTTGATTAGTTACACTGAAAAAAAGTGTTGCATGCAGAACTGTTGCAAACAATTTATTTGTGTTGAATTTAAACAAAAAAATAAAATTGAATAATGTTCAACTTAATTTGATTGTTTAAATTCAATCCAAATACATTGTTTACAACCCCTTAACGTAAAACAATTGAGTAAATTCAAGGAATCATCTTTGAATAATTTTTTTAGTTTAGTTAGTTAGTTAGTTAGTTAGTTAGTTAGTTAGTTAGTTAGTTAGTTAGTTAGTTAGTTAGTTAGTTAGTTAGTTAGTTAGTTAGTTAGTTAGTTAGTTAGTTAGTTAGTTGGCTAGTTACACTGAAAAAAGTGTTGCATGCAGAACTGTTGCAAACAATTTATTTGTGTTGAATTTAAACAAAAAAATAAAATTGAATAATGTTCAACTTAATTTGATTGTTTCAATTCAACCCAAATACATTTTTTACAACCCCTTAACGTAAAAAAATTTAGTAAATTCAAGGAATGATCTTTGAATAATTTTTTTCAGTTTAGTTAGTTAGTTAGTTAGTTAGTTAGTTAGTTAGTTAGTTAGTTAGTTAGTTAGTTAGTTAGTTAGTTAGTTAGTTAGTTAGTTAGTTAGTTAGTTAGTTTGTTTGTTTGTTTGTTTGTTTGTTTGTTTGTTTGTTTGTTATTAAAGACATTAAAATTGTTTTCATACACATCCAGTCATGTTAGTTTCTAACCAGTTACAAGAATTTATTCTAATGTTTATTTATTTAGATTTAATTATTTATAGTTAGCTAGTTAGTCAGTCAGTCAGTCAGTCCGTCCGTTCGTCTGTCTGTTTTACAAGCAAAATTTTTGTCCAGTTAAAGATGTAGACATAAAATTCAGAGCGCTGAACAAATAGTGATTTAGTTTTTTAAAGTGTGCCTCTGTATATTATATTTATTTTTATTTTTATTAATATTATTATTAAATCAGTATTTTTTCATTTTTGTAAATAGAATAACATTTAAATTTAGATGTATTTTACAAATGTATTTATACATTTATCAAATACATTTTACAAGTAGTGATAGTTGTTGATGCCTATATAAACTATAGTTATAAAGTACAGTCAATCTACATAAATGATAACTAATGTTGTAATTTTGATTAATATTTTTAACGTCAAACAGTATCTTCAATCCATCAATTATTTACAGTATACAAGTCAAAAGAAGGAAAAAATATATGTTTTTTTGAATGATCAATATACTACAATACTGTTTATTGTTGTTGTTGTTGTTGTTGTTGTTGTTGTTATTTTGTTGAAAAAGAGTAGTGGTGCTTATTATTTATATTGTTTGTGCAAATGATAATATAGTACCAAAAATCCAGAGATTTATTTTTGAAATGGGTAGCATGATCATCTCACAGCGAAAAGGTTGCTGGTTTGAGCCCCGGCTGGGTCAGTTGGCGTTTCTGTGTGGAGTTTGCATGTTCTCCCCGTGTTGGCATGGGTTTCCTCCGGGGGCTCCGGTTTCCCCCACAGTCCAAAAACATGCGCTTTAGGTGAGTTAAATAAACTCAAGTGGCCGTAGTGAATGTGTGTGAGTGCAAGAACGTGTAGGTGTTTCCCAGTGTTGGGTTGCGGCTGGATGGGCATCCCTTGTGTAAACCATATGCTGGATAAGTTGGCGATTTATTCTGCTGTGGTAAATAAAGAAACTAAGCCAAAAAGAAAATGAATGAATGAATGAATGAATGAATGAATGAATGAATGAATGAATGAATGAATGAATGAATGAATGAATGAATGAATGAATAAATGAATGAATGAAAAAAAACCAGCAACGTTCTTTCTGTGAGGTGACAGTGCTCACCACTGAGCCACATGCCGCACAGTGTATCATATCACATTTTCAAAACATTGTCAGGATCCTCTGTTGTTCTGTGAGCTTGTCTATATATGAGCAGCAGTAACTGAGGAGGAGGAGGAGGGGCTTAGTGAAGGGTCAATTGTCCTTGTCGACCGTCAAGCAGCACTTTCATCCCGGATTACACTACAAGAGCCCTGCTTCACCCAGAGGCGCAAAGACACAGAGAAAAAAGGCGTGCGCTTTGCATTTGTTATGTGCTCTGTGTAAGCGGGCTTTCACTCGTATGCCATCTCCGGTTAAAGATCTGCTTTACCATGAATGAAACCCTGTGTGTGTGTTTACAATACACGAAACGCAATTACATTGTTGCTTATTGATTTGCGGAATTCACCGAGTAGCACAAAATTGCCTACCTGGCCCTTTTGCACACCTTGCGCTTTCAATAAACACACACACACAAACACACAAAGCTTTTAAACTGCAGTCTCCTAGCAACTGCAATGCTGAATGATTTGTATGTGTCTCTATATGTTGTTAGTGTGTAATGCATTGTACTTTCACTTAGTGTACATTAAATCTGGATGAATCAGTTTCCTGTTGAACACAATGTTGTGTTTCCTCTGGTCATTCAGCTCACGTCACTGTATATTTCATCTTTCTGTTCTGCCTCTGCCTCACATTTCTTTCTGAAAGGAGAAAGATTTGTGAATGTGTGCTGAGATCACACAAGGCTGCAGAATGGGAGTGCAGCAAAGCCTTTGGTTGTTTTGTAATGCAAGTTAGATTTGACTCTAGCCATAAATGTGATAATTTAGTATTTTCAAAATCAAGACAAAAAGGGTTGTTTTTGTTGTTGTTTTTTGTTGTTTTTTTTTAACTGAGGAGATCTTTTTTGTTGTGTCAAGATGATATAAAGCAAAAGAAAATGAAAAATTCTAAACATATTTTATTTTTATTTATTTTATTTTTTTAAAGGCAGAGTGATATTAATATTGTATTTTATTAACGGGGAACAAATGTTTATTAACATTTTTTTATTTTTTATTTTTTTTATTTTATTAAAAATGTTACTTTATTTTACTTTGTTTTTATTTTATTTTATTTATTTATTTTATTTATTTATTTTGCTTATGCAGTGTAAAATAAAAATGTGTAACTCCAAAATGTATTATATATATTTTTTTTCATTACATTTTGTTTACTTTTTTTTTATTTATTTATTTTAGGCAGATTGTTATATATATTTATATTATATAATATATTTCTTTTATTTTTTATCTTATTTTTTTATTATTATTATTTTGTTTAGGTAGTGTGATATAAAAATGTGTAACCCCCAAAAATATGTTTTTTTTATTTTATTTTATTATTCGTTTTCTATTAGATTTTACTTAATTTTAATTTTATTTATTTATATTTTAATGACTTTTTAGGCAGTTTGATATAAAATATATAATCCCAAAATGTATTATATATATATTTTTTTTAATTTAATTTTACTTTTATTTATTTAATTACTTATTTATTTTATTTATTTATTTATTATTTATTTTAGGCAGTGTTATATATATTTTTTCTTTTTATTTGTATTTTTTTATTATTATTTTGTTTAGGTAGTGTGATATATACATGTATAGCCCCCCCAAAAAAAATTAGAATTTTTTTTACTTCATTTTTTTTATTAGAATTTACTTCATTTTAATTTAATTTATTTATATTTTAATTACCTTTTAAGCAGTTTGACATACAAATGTGTAATCCCAAAATGTGTTATATTTTATTTTATTTTCCTTCATTTTTTAAATTTTATTTAATTATTTTTTTAAACAAAATGTATATTTTAGTTTATTGTTTATTATATATATATATATTATGAAAATGTGTATTTTCAACCAAAATGTGTAACCCCAAAATGTTTTAGATTTCATCTATTTTTTTATTACTTTTTTCGTTTTCAGTTTTATTTTTAGAATTTTTTAGGCAGTGTGATATAAATAATTTGTTTTATTTTATTTTATTTTGAAAAGTTTGGTGTTAAAAACATAAAAACTAACTTTTTATTTTGTAATAACACTTTTGTATTATTTTTCAGGTAGTAAGAGACTTTAAAAATTACATTGTTTGTTTGCTTTTTTGTTTGTTTGTCTGTTTGTTTGTTTGCTGTTTTGTTTTGGGGTTTTTTAGGTGGTACAATCGTTAAAAAAAACTTAGTGGGATCCAAGATCTTAGTGATTTTTTTATTAAGACCTATAATATACAACCAACTGCTCTGTGCTCATTAGATGATATAGTCTCTTTCTCTCTCCTTCTCTTTCAGTGTTAAGTATAGGAGAAGGGGGATTCTGGGAAGGGACGGTAAAAGGAAGAACCGGTTGGTTTCCTGCAGACTGCGTGGAGGAAGTACAGATGAGACAGTATGATCCTCGACTTGGTAAGAACTGGCATTTTGCTTTAACTTGTGATTATTCATTATACTGTTCTGCGCTTCTAGTTCATCTAAACATTTTGAATCCACTTGTCTAAATGTCAAATATAATTAACATATACATTTTGATCTAGCTGCCTTTTATTGATTGAGAATTTTAATATGCAGCTACTACCATCTTAATATCTTGTTATTTCTGTATCAACCAAACTTGTCCGACAAGAAAGAAATGTTAAATATTATGATCTTCATTTGTGGTTACATTAAGGTGTGTATGTTTAAAGGTAAAATCTAGCCAGTCTGATTAGAATTTTTGCTACTGAGAATTTTATGTGAAGCTAAAATATAGGAATGGACATTTTGAAGCCGGTTTGTCAAGTTGGTCACATGACACTGCTTTCTTTTTAGCTGGATCTTATTTGTTTTACGATTGATAAATGTTAAATCGTTTATAGATGATTGAATTTAGTGATAAACAATATGTTGTAGGCCATGCTGATTATCGGTGTTATCAGTCTTGGACAATAAATAATGAATTATTTCCACACTTCAAATGCATCCTAGATGAAAAGGTGTTCATTGGTGGCTTCTACATGGTATGATTTCCTTGGTTTCTGCTGTTCAAAGGATCGTTCACCCAGAAATGAACATTTACTCACTCAAGTGGTTCAAAACTTCTTTGAATTTCTTTTTTCTGTTGAACACAAAACAATATGTTCTGAAGAATATTATAAAAAGCAGCTATTGACCTCGATTAGTAGAAACAAACAAGTACAATGCAAGTCAATGGCTGTTTTTCCAAAAATCTTCAGTTTTGACCATATTTGGAATGGTTTTGAATATTAATGAGCTCTACTCTGACTCTCCGCAGCTTGTGTCAGTGCCTGCTCTCTCTCTCTCAAACACACACACACATACACAATGTAAAAGTCTGAAATACACACATGTAAAATATTCTGTGTGATGCGATGGCACAGTGGTTAGCACTGTCGCCTGACAGCAAGAAGGTTGCTGGTTCGAGTCCTGGCTGGGACAGTTGGTACTTCTGTGTGGAGTTTACATGTTCTTCCTATGCTTGCGTGGGCTTCCTCTGGGTGCTCCTGTGTTTCCCAGTACTGGATTGCAGCTGGAAGGGCATCCGCTGTTTTACACTTGCTGAATATGCTGCCAGGTCATTTCACTGTGGCGACCCGTGGTAAATAAAGGGACTAAGCTGAAGGAAAATGAGTGAATGAATGAAAAAAATCAACAAAATGAGTTGATGCTTTGTTAACTATATTTTCAACTATAGTGGTATTGAGGTTTATTTTAGCTAGAAGGAGTGAGTGAGCTATCTTCAAACCCCCAGTGGAAAATAGTTTGCTCCTAAATTGTTTTGAATTAAATATAGACTAAATTATAATCATACTTGTCAAAAGCAGCTGACAGAGATGCATTAAAAGTTGTATTTTGAGGCTTTAACAAATATGAAAACACAACCAGGAATTAATATTTACATCTGCATAAACAGATGACACTAAATAGTTTATGAGCATCCTTAAATAGTTTATTAGCATAATTTTACTCAAGACTGAGTTGAGTGATATGACACAATTCATAAACGTGCTTTAAACACTTATATTTTGCAGTTCACTTGTGTTTGTCGCCTCATTATACACAATTATTCACAATATACACGTTAAACTAACAAAGGATGTATTTAAGTTGACCCTGTGTCGTTTTGTAGTGGCGCTGAATACATTTCTAATCCGTATATCCTGCATTTTGCGATCTGACATGCTCTGAACACTCTGTGGTCTTCCTGCCTCTCCTGTTTTCAAAATAAAAGTCCCAAATACATAGTATGTTTAATACAAGCTAAAATAGATGTAAATATAAACACAAACAAAGTCTGGGGCGGACATTATAATGCCTTGTGGATCGTCAGAGTCTGCGTTTTGTTCTGATTGGCCTATTTTTCACTGGGATTTTACACACTGGATTTACATGGAAATGAGGAATTAATAACGTTTGAGGCTCACGGTATGTCATTTCCATGTACTGAGCTCTTATAACTCATTAGTTTTACTATTATAATTATTATTATTATTCCTAGGTATACCCAGAGTTTTATTTTATGGCACCTTTAAGACATGTTTTTATATTTACCAGCCAACTCTAAGATGCCTCTTCACACTCTTTCTCTGTCTCTCTTTTTTTCTCACACTCTCTCTCTCTCGCTCATAAATGCTGTTTTTAGAGGTGTTTGTCATTTTTAGGGTTGTGTACTGAGATCAGGCAGGCAGGCCGGTGTCTGTACTAAACATCCCATTTAAATGCATTGTGAGAGTGAGAGAAAAAGAGATGAAAAATTCCCACACACCTTTTCCGACGGCAAGCATGGCACGTGTCCAATGATTCAAACACACACACACAGAGGTCCAGGTTAAAGGGGAGCTCAGAGTGATGTATTGCCTCCATCCTTAGAGGGCTTTCTAAAAATGAAAGATCTAATGATGCCAGGAAACCACTGGCGAGCCTTCGTAGATGGGTCTCCTTTAGAAAACCAGGGTGTTTCCCCGTCAGCAGAAATGAATTGCACAGCAGAATACTTCGCTTTTGCCATGTCATACATGTATGTTGACAGATCAGTGAGAATATAAAAAATGTAAAGTTCCAAAAATGTTTATTTTTATTTTATTTATTTATTTATTTATTTATTTATTTATTTATTTATTTATTTATTTATTTATTTATTTTGGCGGAGTGATATTAATATATTATTTTATTTATTAAAAATGTTACTTAATTTTACTTTGTTTTTATGATTTTTTTGTTGTTGTTTGTTTAGGCAGTGTGAAATAAAAATGTGTAACTCCAAAAAAATTTTTACTTCATTTTTTATTATTATATTTTATATTTTTATTTTATTTTATTTACATTTTAATGACTTTTTAGGCAGCTTGATAAAAAAAGGTGTTGCTCCAAAATGTATTATATTTTATTTTATTAATTATTTTTGTTTAGGTAGTGCGATATAAAAATGTAACCCCTTAAAATTATTTAATTTTATTTTATTTTAATATCAATGAGTTTGTAAATGGTAGTTTGTCCTTGGGATTAATAGATACAGTTGAAGCGAGAATTATTAGCTCTCATGAATTATTAGCCATTTTCTGCCAATTTCTGTTTAATGGAAAGAAAGAAAATTTTAACACATTTCTAATCAAAGGGGGAGCTAATAATTCTGACTTTACCTATATATGTTATGGTGCTTGAGTACAAGCACAAATATTCACTTCAGATCTCAGATCTCAGAATTGTACATATACTGTAGCCTTATCTATCGGCCCCAAACTTTTAGAAATAAGTGAAAATACAGAGGGATTTGACACTGAATTATATATCTTCCTGTGTGTGTGTGTGAGAGAGAGAGAGAGTCTTAACGCTGATCGTTTCTCCCTTCTCATTTCCTTTAGTTTCATTAGAAAAGAACATCGACTCTCCCGAGAACAAAGAATGAATCAGCCAGTGGGATCTCTCGAGACCACACTTAATTTGTAATTGCTTTCATTCTTCCCATTTGAGTAAAATTAACAGTTTCTCTCTTTTTCACAGATCACATGTACTCACACAAACACACAGTATATAGGTATATTTGAAAAGACAAAGCTAGCATTTAGATTCTCAGTTTATAATATGTGTTCACAATAAAGAAATCGCTGTTTTCTTTTGCTTTCTACTTCTTCTTTAGTGGCCATCTGTGTGCTCATAACTGTGAAGTATATGCGGACAGAGAATTTCAGTTTTCACAGATTAAATAAACACATTGTGTTGGACCCTATGGAGTTTTTGAGAGATACTTAAATAATAAAGCATTTATAAAATACAACAGAAATTTCATGGAATAGCAATGAAAATGGAAAGTTTGCATTTGTGTATAATTTTTGACACATCAGGCCATAATAGGCTTGCATAAAATGATGTAGGAGAACAGCAAGCCTATGAAGTGAGCTAAAATGAGTAAATATATGCTATTATGGGGCAAAATGTAAGTGAAATTCTGATAGCTTGTACTATAAGTCTATGTGATCTTTATAGCTGTCTATCTACTTGCATCAGATGCATTCAAATTTCAGTTGCCAGTTTTCTTTTAGTATTGTGCAATGGATACATGAAATTACAAACCATGTACAAAATTTTTTAAAAACTTACAAGACAGTCAATAACAGCCAGATTTGTGTGTGAGTGAGTGTTTTTTCAAAACATAAAACCGTAAACAAGTTTGCTGTCATTTAAACAAAACAAGCAGCGGAGCACATGGAAGCCACAACACAGACTCACGTGACAACAACAAACATGAGTAGACAGAGCGCATGCACCTGAAAAACGTGACACTATACTAATAAAAAAAATATATTTCATTACAATACGGTGGCTCAGTATTTAGCACTGTTGCCTCACAGCAAGAAGGTTGAGTCCTGGCTGGGCCAGTGGCTATTTTTGAGTGGAGTTTGCATGTTCTCTCGTGGATTTCCTCCAGGTGGTCCGGTTTCCCCCACGGTCTAAAGACATGCGTTATAGGTGCATTGGGTATACAAAATTGGTCGTTGTGTGTGTGTGTGTGTGTGTGTGTGTGTGTGTGTGTGTGTGTGTGTGTGTGTGTGTGTGTGTGTGTGTGTGTGTGTGAGTGTGTGTGTGAGAGAGTGTATGGGTGTTTCTCAGCGCTGGGATACAACAGAAAGAGCATCCATTGCGTAAAACATATTTTGGAATAGTTAGCGATTCATGCAGTTGTGGTGACCCCTGATAAATATGGGTCTAAGCGGAAGAAAAATGAACAAGAAATTATTATTATTATTATTATTATTATTATTATTATTATTATTATTATTATTATTATTATTATTATTATAAGATGGCTGCTTTTCAAATATCATACTTCTGGGACATCCTGCAGAAGATTAGCAACTTCCACCAAGTTGAATCGGGCATGCTAACAGCTAGTTATTTCCTGGTATTACAGT